GGTCGAAAGGTGTTAAGATATCTTTGGTCTCAAGCAAGTGTGCTCTTATTGGTCGAAAGGTGTTAAGACGTCCCTGATCTCAAAGACGTTGGTGACCATAGGTCGAAAGACGTTAAGGCGATGCATAAATAAATGGGTCAAGTGAGCTTTTTCAATGACATACACCGTAAATCCACATGTCAATGTCATATGGTCTGTCAGTTGAAAGCGGTGTGAGTTTGGTTTAGAAATCAGTTGGTATATATACTGTGACTTATAAAGAGACAGGGGGAGAGTGATTAAAAAGAAGTTGAGAGCTAAGAGAGCTAAACATCACATGACTTGTTGAATATTCCAATGGAGAGAAAGCTTAGTAATCAGTTGGTATATATACTGTGACTTATAAAGAGACAGGGGGAGAATGATTGAAAATAAGTTGAGAGCTAAACATCACAGAACTTTGTTGAATATTCCAATGGAGAGAAAGCTTAGTAATCAGTTGGTATATATACTGTGACTTATAAAGAGACAGGGGGAGAATGGTTAAAAATAAGTTGAGAGCTAAACATCACAGGACTTTGTTGAATATTCCAATGGAGAGGAAGCTTATAAATCAGTTGGTATATGTACTGTGACTTATAAAGAGACAAGGGGAGAATGATTAAAAAGAAGTTGAGAGCTAAATATCACAGGACTTTGTTGAATTTTCCAATGGAGAGGAAGCCCATCTGGGGAAAGCAGTACACAAAGAAATACGACAATATTTTAGGACCTTGAGGGTAGAGACCAACCTAAAGTGATTTTCTGATTTCGGCCGAAGCCGAAAATAGGCCGAAAGTTTAAAAATGACTTTCGGTTGAAACCGAAAAAAGGCTGAAAGTTAAAAATGAATTTCGGCCGAAACCGAAAAAGAAATATTAAGATATTTTGAAATTCGTTCCCGCATACATTCTGCATACATCGAAAATGATGTGGGAAAGTATTAAAATTTACATTCTTTTAAAAAAAAATGAGATAATCGTGAATATTAATAAATAAACATCTAATATAGGGGTCTCAAACTCGCGGCCCGCGAGCCATTTGTGACCCGCAAGACAATATTTTGCGGCCGCTACATGACAGAAAAGTTTACTGTAAATGCGCCGGCCCGTTTCCCACCTTCTCATATCGATAACGTGACTCTCCTCGACGGTTTCAGTCGAATCTCACCGACTAGTCTAATTCTGATTTTTTTTAAATGTTTCTATATATTTTTTTAATGCCAGGTCTCTGGCAACAGTGAGTAGTTCTTGACAACCCTTAATGATTTTATTGTTATTTATAAAGGTTGAGCAGATTGAAATAGTTGTAATCGCTTTTTTGTGGATTACTTGATGCGGCCCACTCTCATTCAGACACTACCTCCTGTGCCCCTCCCCCCCCCCACCCTCACCGCATGATTTGAGTTTGAGACCCTTGATCTAATGAATACTTTGGATTTTACCATTTTAATATTAAAGTAATCTAAATTGCTTTACAATTTTTTTTAAAAATTAGTATGGAAGGAGAAACTTTGGCAAAAATTGGGGGGGGGGGGAAATTAATGCAAATTATTATTTTTTCAAACAGTGTCTCTAAAAAATGTGGTTCTAAAAGATCGCTTAATTTGTTTTTAAAGATCGTTTAATTGGTTGTTATTGATCGGTTAGTTTGTTCTTAAAGATCGGTGAGTTTGTTCATAAAGATCGCTTAGTTTGTTGTTTAAGATCGTTTAGTTTGTTGTTAAAGGTCGTTTAGTTTGCTGTTAAAGATCGTTTAGTTTGTTTTTAAAGATCGCTTAGTTTGTTGTAAAGATCGCTTAGTTTTTTTCATAAAGATAGCTTAATTTGTTCTTAAAGATAATTAATTTTGTTCCTTAAGATCGATTAGTTTGTTTTTAAAGATCTTTTAGTTTGTTCCTAAAGAACATTTAGTTTTCTGTTAAAGATCGCTTAGTTTATTCTTATAAATCATTTAGTTTACTATTAAAGATCATTTGTTTTGTTCTTAAAGATCATTTAGTTCGGTCTTAAAAATCGTTTAGTTTGTTCTATAAGGTCGTTTAGTTTGTTCTTAAAGATCGCTTAGATTGTTCTTAAAGATCGCTAGGTTTGTTTTAAAGATCGTTTAGTTTGCTCTTAAATGTCACTTAGTTTGTTGTTAAATATCGTTTAGTTTGTTCTCAAAGATTGCTTAATTTGTTCTTAAATGTCGCTTAGTTTGTTATTAAATATCGCTTTCGCTGAGTATTAAATGACCTAAAACCTGAGTCACTTTCGGCCGGATGGCCGAAAGTCTAAGTCAATTTCGGCCGAAACCGAAGAAAACCCAAAATTTAACTTTTCTCTTTCGGCCGAAACCGAAATTAAGCCGAAAGTTAACTTTTCAGTTTCGGCCGAAACCGAAACTTGGCCGAAAGTAATATATGGCCACTTTCGGCGCCGAAACCGAAGCCGAAGCCGAAATTCGGTCGGTCTCTACTTAAGAGGGAGGCGATTAGATTTGATGATTATTTAGAAGAAGAAACATTCATAGTATAACTTTAGTTTTGTTTTGTTTTTATCTTAAACAATTTGAGATAATCGTTTTTGATTTGTTAACACCTGAAATATAGGTTATGTAGTACGGTTCAATTCAGTTGATTAGTCCATTATGGATCACATCGTTCCGTCCTGAGACGACATTATTGGGTTTGAAACAAGCATATAAATAGACGGGAGTAAGAAGCTAAGGCATAAGTGACATACCGCTTGAAAATGCCACGGGCAACGAGTTAGTGGAAGAGCTGGATTGTGATAAAACAGAAGTTGACATCTCTAGTAATGAGGAATCAATGAATCTTCCTAAAGAATTTTTTTACAAATTGAAAATATTGTGTTGGCTGAAGTAGATGTTTTAGATAAAAAGTCAGGTTAAATGTGATAAAGTTCGGTGTTGGCGAATTGAAGATTCCGTCCCTTGATGAAGTTAGGTTTTTTGTTTTTTTTAAATAAATATAAACTTCATATTGAAAATATTGAAGAGTGTAATGGTGATATCCAGCTAAATAAAATTGGATTACTATTAAGAAATTCACATAATTTTTGGAGATACGGGGCAAAGGTGAGGAAATTTCACGACACCTGCAAATATGGCTTCACTCAAACAACTCTAACGCAGACTTCAAAACTTTCAACCCGGTCTACCTCCATGGGGCGTTCTATCGAGGACCTGAATGAGGTTGTCACCAAGATCCTGTTGCTTCAAGAGGATGGTCTATCTTCAGAGAGCATTTTACCATGGACCTGAGTAAGGTTGTCACCAAGATCCTGTTGCTTCAAGAGGATGGTCTACCTCCAGAGGGCATTTTACCATGGACCTGAATGAGGTTGTCACAAAGATCCTGTTGCTTCAAGAGGATGGTCTACCTCCAGAGGGCATTTTACCATGGACCTGAGTAAGGTTGTCACCAAGATCCTGTTGTTTCTTGTTTCAAGATCATGGTCTACCTCCAGAGGGCATTTTACCATAGACCTGAGTAAGGTTGTCACAAAGATCCTGTTGCTTCAAGATAATGGTCCATCTTCAGAGTTTTACATCTCTTATCCTATCCAAATATTCTTGAAGAGTTTTCCTACAAAGGTCCAAACTTTTACATTACAAACGACTGATTTTAATCGAGATTGTACGCCTTTCATATCGAAAGGATGTGTGTCATTGCTAGTTGATTCTTCCGGTCTGAGACCTATCAAGTTTTTATGAGACAAAGGCTGCTTAACTTTCCTTTAATTTTTAGGTTATATTTCCTTTGTCTAAGACGTCTGATACTGGAAGCAACATCCTGTTACGAGGTGTACAAATGGGTTGCATTGGCCTACCTTTACATCTTATCGATCTCTAGTCAGATCTAGTCTCAAGACATGTGGTCGTGAGCGTCCCACCAACGTAAGCCTTGGATGGCATCTTGTTGCTTCTAGGAAATGACTTAGCTGGCGGGATGGTGATAGCCGAACCCATCTTAACTCATGAACCTTGTTTGACTGAATCTCAAGATTAGTTATATCCAACATATGCTGCTATCAGAGTTATATCCAGCATGTGCTGTTATCCAAGTTATATCCACCATGTGCTGTTATCCAAGTTATATCCACCATGTGCTGTTATCCAAGTTATATCCACCATGTGCTGTTATCCAAGTTATATCCAGCATGTGCTGTTATCCAAGTTATATCCACCGTGTCTTTGAAAACAGAAATAGTCGACCTTTATTATCTTTTCTCTAAACAACAGTGGTTCCCAAAGAGTTTGCAGCGGAGCCATAGGAAGCCGTGGTTGCTTACCAGGGCTGATTGTTATTTATTTTCCAACTTTATTTCAATGTAGAACGCAGAGGTCGTGGGGCACACTAGTAACTCTTTTAGTAACGTTTTTTTTTTCTCTAAATTTTTTCAATAACATATTTGTGTGATCATAAACTCGTCAATCTGTTATTTTTACACTGCCATTTCATTAAAAAAAGAGATCATATATTAGCGTTGCCGTTTTGGAATTTAATTTCGGTAGAAGCATTAGGGAAAACCTGATTGAAACAGGGCCTAGAAATCGAAGGTGTTTGGGAGCCACTGCTCAATGCATTCAGCGGAGGTCCATGACAATAATGGTTGATGTTATAAAATGCGCTATTTTCTATGCAATATATTCCGTACAGTCAGATAGAAAATAAGGATGAACAAATACACTCAGTGCAGTTATTTAGAAAAAAAAAAGATGAACAAGTGTATTCAGAACAGTTATTTAGAAAATAATGATGAACAAATGAATCATTCATAGAAAGAGCTCACCTTTCCATATTTCCTCCCCGTAGTGGATGGGCGCCTCTCGTGAGAACGCAACGTACAGCTGGCCTGGCCATCGCTCGGTGGGGAGGTGGCCGTTGTGCAGATTCGAAGTATAGGCCACCACCACGTCCGTGGCACTCGTCGGGGGCTGCTCGCTGATGACGCACTCGCCTCCGCACAAACTTCCGGTTTGGTTGACCATCCTCTTGAAATACGTGGGGACGTTGACGACGCTGATTTGCAGCGGCAAGTTCTTCAACGTCTTAGCTCTGAGCCTGGCCAATCCGTCTGAGGCATCGAGGGCTCTACGGTTCTTTTCGGAGAAAGTATCGGGCGTTTTCAGACGATCCCCCGAGGCTGCCAAACTGACCAGATGTCCCATGTTCACTGGACCTTTCCTTTGACCAGCAATATCGCCTTCAATCTTGACGACCGCATTCGTTGAAGATGTTTTGTTTTCTAAATCCGGGCAACTGATGTAGATCTTCTGTCGGCAGTAAATCTCATCATTGTACGCGAGACTCGAGCCCGAGGTTTCGGCCACCTTGACAAATGAGACGAGTTGCGGCTGTGTGAGGCACATGGCCAGAAGAGTGACCCCCGAGTACGGTCAGCACCACGCCGTACCATCCCCTCCTGATGTCCTTTAAACAAAGTGGAAAATGCCAGATTTAAAGTAACAATAATAACAGGAACTCACGCAGCTTCTGCGATCCACTGACTTCTCTAAATACGACCGGAGGTGTTGGAAAGGTCGACCGCAAGAGTTGAGCTGTAACGTTTGTTTGTAGAAATTGAATTATTGGAGATGGATTGTGAAAGTCGGGGTGTTGGAGTTGGGTTGCTGGAGCCGGGTTGGTGGAGTTGGGTTGTTGAAGTTTGTTTGGTGGTGTTCGGTCGTTGAAGTCGGTTTTTTAGAGTTAATTTGGTAAAGTTGGGTTGTGGAGTAGGGTTGGTGGAGTAGGGTTGAGGGAGTGGTCGGTTGGATAACCTAAAGAATGCATAATGTTTTCGATGTCATTAAATTAATTTTTTAAAACTGTTTTCACAATTTTTTGGTGTTTTTTTTTTAAAAATCAAATGAAAACAATTTATTTTTAAAATGATTAATTTATTAAGAATTATTCCACCAAACCACAACGTGTTATTAAATTAATATAGTCAGATAAGCATTTTATATAAGTATAAAATGAACGCCAAACGGACGAGTTCTCCAATGCTACAAATACACTTTGAGTTGTCCACATAGTTGCTGCAGTGATGAGATCAACTAAAGCTATACAATTTGGGGTTTAGGAAGTACCTGGCATTGAGGACATAGATTAGCAAGCCTGCAAAACTCAACATGTATGCGGGCCGTAATACTTATGAAAAACTTGTATGAAGGCTGACAAAAACAGGACAGGGGGGGGGGGGTATTAAGAAAATAATAATACAAAATTATCTTTCTTTCCATGGCGGACCGCATGCGGCCCGCGGGCCGTATGTTGTGCAGGCCTGTGTTAGATAAACATCCATTCAGTAAACACCTGCCATACCGGACATGAATTAAATAAACGTGCATTTTTGGCGCGAGCTCTTTCACTCACTGTTAGCGGTTCCGTTTGTCCAAGTGTTAGATTTGCGTCTGTGTTCACTGGTGTGCGCAATGTAGGGTGTGTTCGTTAGTGTTCGACAAGCGCTAACGTGCATTCATTGATAAAGAAACTTAGTCTGAATCGGTGACTTCGAAATAAAAGCAATAATATACCCTCCCCCCCCCCGCCAAAAGCCAACCTCCCAGACTTCTCTTTCAGTGGGTTGTATTGCTAACTCCAATGGGCTTTTCAGTCGGATGAAAGGGGTACATATCAAGTTAGGATTATTAAGTAATATTTATATAGCCAGTGGTGTAGCTAGGGATTTGGGGGCCCGGGAGGCTTGGCTTCTTTTGGGGCCCCTGCGTTTTGACGTCCGACATTATTTAATGTGAAAAAAAATTCGGACACTCCTTTGGGGGCCCCCTCAAGTAGGGGCCTGGGGGGACTTTCGAATTTGGACCGCCCCTACCCTAGCTACGCCACTGTAGATAGCTCACATAAAAATTATTTAAATCTAAGGCCCCAGACGCCAAACTGTTAAATGGTTGTACTCAGTCCGAAACATACTTATTACATCACACGCAAACTGAAATGTCGCTTGTACTTGATTCTATTCCATCCATGCATGCAATAGCTCTGTTTAAAATTGTACATCTATAGCTCATATAAAAAAAAAAAATTTAGGGCCCCCGGCCACAGAAGGAATATTTCAAAATGGATAACCTAATTCAGAACCCTCTGCGGGCGTGGGCACACCAACTTACCAAAGTTTTATCGCAATCGGATGAAAGGTATAGGACCGCATACGGATATTATATTTATTGGCTCATAAAAGGGGGGAAAAGAATTTAGGGCCCCGTGCCCAAAACGGAGTATTGTAAAATGTGTCTAATAATTCAGAAGCATTTGCGGGCGTGTGTACAACAACTCACAAAAGTGTTATCGCTATCGGTTGAATGGTATAGCTGCGCATACGGGACCTACATACATACATTATTTTATATATATATATATATATATATATATATATATATATATATATATATATATATATATATATATATATAT